TATTGTTGGATGGGATCAATGCGAAACATTTTAATATTATACGAAACTATATACGTCTTCCGTGTATTTTTCACCTCAGATGAACAGAAGTTGGGTGGAGTAGACTGCTGCTACTTTAATTTGGAACATTTCTGCAACAATAACACTTTACTATTTTATTTTATGTAAGCGACATGGTAACAAACCAATACTCTACCTGATAGGAATTGGTGATCGGCGCCTTTATACGATATGAACAACAGCACCATGCATTTGGTGGTTACGTGACGTCTTTGGTACCATTCGTACGTAGCTATTTCGAATAACTAAGATGTCTGCCTCATATAACTGTCATAGACTTTTCTCGATATTTCAACCAAAACGCTACTTGGCGACTGAAATAGGTGATGCTAGTACTCACACAGACGACTTTTAGAAAGTCTAGCTCGGACAAATTTATTATATTTATTGCATTTTTAAATACATTATTTATGAATCTTAGTAACACACAATGTTGGATTAAGTCTAATAAAATAAAAGTTGCGCAAGTATCCACAATTGTTTATGAATTACAGAATTATAATAAATTTAAATCATTACAAACATTATAAAATATTTAATAGAAAATTATTAATACATATTTCATTAACAACAACTCCACACCATTTCGTGTTCCACCTACAAATAAAATTTATTGCAATCCTACACTGTCTCCACATGCCTTTCATAATTCATCCCGGCATTCATGCAAACAAACGAAAACTATAGCGCTGCAAGTCGTATCCGGCATTCTACACAATATTATCCATTTTATACTATTTTTTGTTCACAATTGTCATGTCACACCAGTATGCCACAAATTTAATTGCTTACCAGCTTTGAGTACTGTACTATTAAGATGCAACTCTGCACTACGATAGTATGAAAGGAGAACCTTATATTTTGTCCACATTTGCTGCTAAACTAAATACAGAAGGCTTATATCCGGTCATTTCGTGGATTTTGCACAATTAGAACACATTTACCGGATGTCAAGTGTCCGTAAAGGTGTTTGATGGGCTTTGATATTTCAATATAGATTTTACAAAAGCTATTGACGAACTCGGTATCTCTATAAATAACCTCGATGAATTTAATAGATTCTGAATAGATCTTTTCATTATAATATGTAGGTGTTACACTATTGAGTTTATCGTTCGATATTAGCATAGACTTTATGTATTATGGCGCTGTCGTGTATATTATGGTTGCAACAGAATTGCATATTTCCTACAATTTTAGTATCCACAAAGATTGCTCTCATTATATGTAGAAAATATAATTTTGTATAAAATTGTTCTCAAGCACTAAATTTCATATCTTTGTTTATTTATTTATCTTCCTCCGTATTGGTCTTTGCTTTCTCCATAGTCCTCCACAGAATTAAAGTTCATCATCTTCAACTATATTTAAGCCTATTCGTCTTATGTCTGCAAGGCCGATAATATATATAAAAATACGGAAATAAACGTCTTTAAAACTTCGAAGTACTTCCAATAAAATACCATAATGGGTATATGCGTTCTTTTAGGTCTTTAGTGGGTGAAAATGCTTCATTTAGATATATGTAGATATTTTATTATTTTATATATTATTAATTATTTCTGTTCATCCAATTACACTGTAATAAATTTACCGTGATATGATTTTCACATAAGTATATGTATATATAAATATTTAAGATATAGTAACTGATGATAAAATACTACAAAATATCCGAATCCCCAACATGCAATATTAGAGCAATAATAAGTAGGAATCTATTATTTACTGCATCAATCTGTATTAATCTAAATACATCTATTATTACATGATTCCTTTTTTATTCCATTCCATCACAACTGCATCAAGTTCCGTTACCATTAGGTTCATTATTGTTATATAATAATGTTCTAATACTGTTACTTTTCCTATTACGCCGGAAACAGTGACAATTAAGTCGAGGATTACAGTAGTTGGTGTTGCATCGTCAGAAGCAGTATTCAAATATCCACCAGACAGTGAGGCACCAAGATTATGTCATTGTCATACAACTTTTTCATTAACGTCCACTTTTTCTTTATCACCCATTCCAGTCTTTGTATCTTTTCGAGTATAAACTTTGTATTGTTGTGTCGAAACTTCTTAAGGTGGATTATGTTCGTTTGTTTGAATTGGATCTCCGTTAGTACAGTTAAGGCTTTGAGTTACCGACTGGGTTTATATTAGTCGGTGGCATGAATCGATAGTCAGGTATCTGAATATTTTTTGAAATTGTTAAAGGAGCAACTTCATAGAAATTTATGTATTTTATTATATAGCAGTTGAAATAAATATATTCGCCTATTCTATTTATAATAACGATTAAACTATTAACAATAACTTATCTTGTTCTTTGATTTATTTGTTTAATTGTTTTCATAAATAACACTGTGATTTCCAATTTTTCTCAATCTTTTTTGTCGTCGTCAATATTGGGAGATTTTTATATTTGTTATTGTTAGTTTTTTGTACATTAAACCTCTCATTCATAAAAACACAAATCTATATAAACTTAGTAAAGTAGGTGCTTTAAATTGAGTTTATTATACATATAATAATTCCATGACATTAAAGAGAGAATGTCATAGCATATTAAGACATTTAAAATATGCAATATTTATATATATATATATATATTTTGAAAGTCTGAAATATTATTCATGGTGAATTTACCATATATAGGCCAACTGAACTGACCTCATGTTCATCTTATCATCCTCCGCTGGTGCTCTGCCAGCGTAAACCGTTAACGCACCCGTGTTATCATATCAGCATCAGCACCATTCCATTATCATTCATAAGCAAAAAAATCCTAATCTTTAATAAATATATTATGATCAGTTGTTCCTGTAACAATATTTAATTTGGTTCTGTTATCAATGTAGCTATACAAAGTCGCAACATACAAATATAACAATAAGGTACACTGTATCCCAAATGAGTGGCACTTCAGCCTGTTTATTTGGACCAAGCCGTGCGTATTATCCGTACATACTACTCGCACGATAAAATTAATTGATTAAATCGACCACAATAGGCCTTACACACATGAGATGATGTCAATGAGGTCCCAGGTTCGAATCCTGGATTAGCCGGTGCTTGCCGCGTTCAATTATATGCTCTCATTCATATTCCTGGGATGTTGGTTGATCCGGGATGAAAATAGAACTGTTTAATATAAAATGAATGGGATAATTTGATGGTGTGTGAAGCTTATTGGCCTTTGAATAAAAATTTATAACAATAGGAGTTCGTGAATTTTTTTATTATCACTGTGTAACACACTAATATTAAAATTAATTAAAATCATGTCATCATATATGTAGCTTCCCATATATAATGGTAGTAATATTTCATATTGTATTATGTAGTTGTTAAAATATGGATCTTATAATTTCTACAGGAACACTCTTTCCATGTTTCTTCCCTATTGTGTTTCCACGACTGCATTGCTACACTAATTATTATAAAATATCGTGTATTTTTCATTGAGTAGTGCTCAAGATAAAAACTCGACCAGAAGTAGAGGTAGGCCACACGCCACTTGGTGGAACTATATTAAGAAGCAGATGGACCAGGACAGCTTTACTACTCATACTTAGACAACCCAGAGATTCTCTGGCGCAAATGTATAGAGAGACCCAGCCCCAGATAAACTGGGAACATGGGTTGGACAGAGAGAATTAATTACAGTACTTGTAATAGATTACTGAATCTTGTCTGATTGAGTATCTACTAATATACGTAAAACAAAGCAATTGAGACTTTATTACACTACATGAAGGCTGATTTATTAAATGATAGATTAGAATTTAAAGCATTGGCTGCATCTTATAAAGATAACAGGACTTGAAGGAAACCGAATAGGAATTGAACGCATAATTGGCCAAAACAAAATTTCATAAAAATCCTTTTCTATGTGAACTGTATGTTAATAAATTTATATGGCTTTATATTTATATTTATCAACGTAAGATACATAACCTAAATCTATGTTTGTTAGAATTTTTGACTGTTTGTGTAAGCGTTTGAGTGCGGTTTTTAATGTTTTGTGGTTACATTTACTTCAAAGTTAATGTTTGTTTTATTATTAAAAATATTTATATCGAATGCTATGTGTACAAACTTGCAACATCAGCTAGTTAGTGAAAATATATAATACTAGCTGAGCCTGCGGTTTCACCCGCATGTAATTTATAGCCTATATGTTTTTCTGAGGTACAAGCTATATTACTATAAAGATTAATCAAAATCTGTTCAGTAGATTTTGCGTGAAAGAGTAACAAACATCCATCAGTACTCACAAACTTTCGCGTTTATAATATTATTTAATAAGATTTTTATCCTGCAATCCAGTTGTTACAGAAAATCTAATAAGAAGAAATGGATTTAACTTTATTGACATGAATATTAGAAAATAAAACCAACTTCTCTACGTTTGCAAAAATAAATGAGGATTAGGTACGTAACTTATGCAAGAAATTAAACAATTAAACGTCAATTTATTATATTGACATAATTATTATGTGACAAACATTTTTAACCAATTTTTTACTTTCTGTTAGATATTTCAAATATGTGAACTAAGTAGGTACTTACTTACTTACTTACAATTAAAAATTAACAACCAATAATATCACAACTGGTACATTCGTTCTAAACCATTTGTGACTTTTATTCTTGCAATTGTTTTTTTTTTAAATAATAACAATAATAATTATTTATTTCCTTGCTTTTATTTATGTAGGTACATAAAGAAATATTACTGTATTTGCACATTCAAATACCATTTCTTTTAAATAAATAACTTTATTATGCATAATTTAATATTAACAAATAATTGAAACAAATAATTTTCAAGAAAAATGTATTTTCACCACAGAGCATAATTATATTTTTACCACAGTATTGAACAAATACCACGAATTCAAAGATATACATATATATTGAGTAATTCCATATTATTCTACCACAGCAGAGACAATTTGATCATTGAGAATACCACACGCATTTACACCTCGTTGTATCCTGAAATATCCCTTCTCTCCGAAGGACTCGCCCCAGGAATTCTTAAACGTCCAAAACGGTTGGTCATTATCTGAAAACAATTTTGATTCTTTTATAAAAAAAAATATAAGTTTTCATGCAATAGTAATGACAAACAACAGTCTAAAAGAATCAATCAATCAGAAAAGCGCGGCTTAGGTTGAATGATCTGTAACAGACTAATTTTACTATCCCCTGGTTCTTAGCCGAAAACTCCGAGTAATTGGAAAGGAATATATTAATTGGTATTGTCACATTAACACAATATTAATACAGAAAGCTTTTTTTCTGATGGATGATAATGAAATGGTGCACCCGCCTGCGCTAACGGTTTACGCTGGCGGGGCACCAGTGATAATAACTAGTGTTATCATCATTCACTGTGCCACATAAAGTCGGGTCAATTATATCATCTTGTTAAATTCACCACGAATTTATTACGTTTCCAGGAGTCGGCGTGGAGGTCAACCTGATATAGTAAATTGCTAGTAATGATGTTTATATATCACATTACTAACAATCCCCTTTCTTTTATAATAAATCTAATTACACATACACACCTGTGCCGTAACCAACTAAGAGGACCCCATGGTTGATAGTGTTGCTGTTACATGTCAGGATTCCACCGGTATAGGCCTGGAGATCCGACCCGTCTAACGCTGTAAAAAGATCATTTATATCTCACTAATATTATAAATGCGAAAGTTTGTGAGTATGGATGGATGTTTGTTACTCTTTCACGCAAAAACTACTGAACGTATTTTGATGAAACTTTACAGTAATATAGATTATACATGAGAATAACATATGGGCTATAAATTTCATGCAGGTGGATCCGCGAGCACAGCTAGTACCTATATGATAAAAATAATAACTCTGTACATTTCACATAACTCCATTTAGTCCCAAGCTAAGCAGAGCTTGTATTATGGATACTAGATAACTGTTATATATATACATAATATCCATACCAAACACTTAGATCTATACAAAGGTCATACTCATGAATACAAATGTTTTTACTGTGCGAGGAATCGTACCCGCGATCACCGGGAGTAAAGCAGGGCTAAATCGCTGGACCACCGAGGCAGACAAGTAAATAAACTGACCTTTAAACACTTTTCAATAGTCATTAATATTTTTTTAATCTACCGCTCATTCAGATAGCTATCTCATCGTAGAATGAGAAAGTAACTTACATGTTGCTTTTTTGCTTACGTGTTCGTTTAAATAATTTTGTTGCAACATTACATTTTTATTTTAAAACATGAATAAACCAAGTAGCACTAATGCATTACATGCATTACATGACAGCCTCGGTAGTCTAGTGGTTTAGCACACCGCTTTACTATCCGATGTTCTTGGGTTCGATTCCTCGCACGGTACAAACATTTGTATTCATGAGTATAATTGTTTGTATCGGTCTGGGTGTTTCTATGTATTTAGAAAAAAAATGTATCCATGTATTTATATCAGTTGTCTAGTACCCATAACACAATCTCTGCTTAGCTTGGGACTAGATGGCGCTGTGTGAATAGTCCCATATTATTATTAGTACAGTCAAAATAAGAAATACACAACCAGCTGGTTATGTACTAAATAAGAGTAAATCACTCGTTGTGATTAGAGCACACAGCAGAGCAGAGCAGTCCCTACAAGACAACACTCGTTCACGAGTATGTCGGATGAGCCAGCCATCGTCAGAGCCCTATGAGCCGTCCCACTACGCTGCACACGTCTGGACATTTTAGTGAACAGAACTATTTATGACTTGACCACGTCGCCAATTATATAAAGACCCATCATCATCATTTCAGCCCGGAAGATGTTCACGGCTGAACAAAGATCGCTACGATGTTCGGTACAGCGCTGCTCGCATCCATTTCAAGACCCATGGTACAATAAAAACAGCCATCATTGCGCTCGACCATTTTTTAGGGAGCCCTATGAACCGTCCCACTACGCTGCATATGTCTGGACATTTTAGTGAGCAGAACTACTTATGACTTGACCACGACGCCAATCATTTAAAGAACCATGCTACAATAAAAACAGCCATCATTGCGCTCGACCATTTTTTAGGGAGCCCTATGAACCGTCCCACTACGCTGCACATGTCTGGACATTTTCGTGAGCAAGACTACAAGACAACTCTCCACTAAAGACACTTGACCACGTCGTTATCATTTAAAAATCCCATACCGAAATGAAATTTATTATAATTAATGTTATAGATGCTTATTACCCATGGACAGTGGTGCAATATTTACTAATACATCCTTCAATTTGTCCTCAGTGGTATCAGAATAATCCTTGCAGTCTGATACCTTCACTTTAACTTGCTTCTCATCATATTTGCAGTTACCAGTCTGAGCTGAATATGGATAGTCCTGTTCTGACATGGCTCCTTTAGTACTTAGGTACCTTAAAATTTAACAATTATTACATTACATTTTACATATTAAAATGTTGGGGCATTTGAGTTTGGGGTTTGATACGACACGACGAACTAATTAACAACATTATTGAGGGAAAAATAAATGGAAAGAGAGGAAGGGGAAGACCAAGACACAGCTATATCAAGCAAGTTAAAGAAAAAGTTGGAGTCGTGTCGTATCAACAGCTAAAGGGACTGATGGAGGATTGTATAAGGTGGCGGGAGCTCCACCGACAAGAGCACAGCTCTTAAATTATGAATGAATGAACATTACATAATAATAATAATATCTCAGGACAATTCGCACTGAGGCAGTTAGTCTTAAGCTAAGCAAGACTTGTGTTATGGGTACTAGATACATAGAATAATATTGTTATTAATACATATATAACATGGACTCCATTTTCCGCAATCAGCCTTTCGTGATAATAATATTAGTAAGGATGTTGTACCTCAAAGCCACCGACATAAACCCTCCATTACATCCCTGATTCTCTGTGTTACAATCGACCAGCTGCTGTTCAGACAACTCTATCTGCTGTTCATGTTTGATGGCGTACACACTTTCAACGTTACCTGAAACATGTTTGTAATATTAAAATAACCGTTTTTTACTACATGCATATGCAAATACGATACATATACCAAAAACCACTTCTTACAATTTTGTCTGTCGGCTAATCTCTGAAATGGCTGGACCGATTTAGATATGACTTTGGCAGGTAGCTGATGAGGAGTAACTTAGACTTCTTATATTTTAGAAAAATAAAGTTAAATTCCACGGGGACGAAGTCGCGAGTGCAGCTAGTATACAATATATACATTTATATTTACATATAATCATACCTCCCCTATCCCCTAAATGTTCACTGTTCTATCACTAACCCCTATTTTTAATAGCGATATTAATTTTTGCGACAACACAACGTTTGCCGGGTCAGCTAATAATCTATATACATATTATTACGTGATGCAAAAACGGTGTACCTACAGGATTTGATCCCGAAAACGGGATCCCGGGTTCCTTGTCGAAATTTCAGTCCCGAAAATCTCGGGATTTTATATAACAAATCCCGAGATTTACGGGAGTAACAAAAATTTTTAATCTCTGAAATGGCTGGACCGATTTTGATGGGGCTTAGCTTTTTTGGTAGGTAGCTATAATAAGGAATAAAGTTATTATAAGTAAGTTATTCCTTATTACATAGATATAATAAGGAATAACTTAGGTTACTTTTATTTTAGAAGCATAAAGTTAAATTCAACGCGGACGAAATCGCCGGTACAAATTCAAATTCAAATTCAAAATATCTTTATTCATGTAGGTCTATTACAGACTCTTATGATATGTCAAATCTACCGTCAGTTAGGAATGATATCGAAATGAGAAGAACTGACAAGAAACTCAGCTCGTATTTTTTTCAAACAATAGTGGAAAATGTTTATAATAATACACAGTCATTAAAATTCAAATTTGGAAGAATAGAGTGACCACCAGCATATGCTATCGCAAAGAACAAAAAATTTAATCAGTGTTCACAATCTGAACAGACCAGTACCCACAAGCAGCACCGTTCACGAGTATGACGTATGAGCCAGCCATCATTGTACTCAACCATATTTGAGGGAGCACATCGACCCGGCCCACCACGCCGCCACAAGTTTAAACTTTATAGCGAGCATGACTGTTTCAGGTTACTCCACTACGTCAATTATATTATTTACAGCATAGGCTGTAAATAATATAATTGACGTCTAATAAATATCGTCATAAAGTCTAATAAACCAACCAATTGTACTGAACGCCCAGCATGATCCGCATGCGCCTTGGACCTTGACTCTTGTCACACCATTTTTGTCTCTCCAATCAAACGAATCAGGCGCAGTAGAGGTTTTTTTATACGAAGCTTTAGTACAATCATTACCAACTGTTAAATTGTTGAAGCAGGTCAATTTTTGTTGGAATTCTTCTAAAGTCAAATCCATAAATTGTGTGATACCTGAAAAAAGAAAAACATAGAGAATTATATTTTATTAGCTATCCCAGGTTCGCACGGGTGTACACTTATCATCATTACATAGTATAAAACAAAGTCACTGTCGCTGTCTGTCCCTATGTATGCTTAATCTTTAAAACTACGCAACGGATTTTAATGCAGTTTTTAGCGATAGATAGAGTGATTCAAGAGGAAGGTTTATATGTATAATATATGTACTTCTGTGCGATGCCGGGTTGGGTAGCTGGTTATACATATAAACCTCCTCTTGAATCACTCTATCTATCGCTAAAAATTGCATTAAAATCCGATGCGTTATAAACAGACAGAGGTAGCGGCTCCAATTTATATTATGTAAAGATGTGTCCTTTTAATTATGTTAAATCATTTAAAATATGTCTCAATTCGGACGGAAGGATTGAAAACACTGATACTTAGTACCCTCCGTCTATGGAATCTGAGATGAAGATATGTAGATCAATAGACAGATTAGTCTGTATTTAAGAAACTGACTGTGTTCGAAAATTGTTTTATTTGGAATACATTCATAATATCAATGTATAACTTTCTATGAAGATATATTATATCTTTATAGATACTCAAATAAAGGGTAATAAATAGTATAGAATAGAAAAGAAAATTCTTTATTCACTAAACATTGAAGCACTTTTGAATAGTCATAACATATTTTTTCAATCTACCGCTCATTCGGAAAGCTGTCTTATCACAAGAAGTATGAACAAGAAACTTACGTGTTGCTCTTTTAAATCATTTAGTAGTAACTTTACATTTTTAATTTGAAATTTGTGAATACAAACCATCAAATAGCTCTAATTAATTAGAATCAAAATAAGAAATGCACAACCAACTGGTTAAGTAACAAAATAATAGTAAATCAGTCGTAGTGATTTGAGCAGACCAGTCCCTACAAGCAGCACTCGCTTACGAGTATGACGAATGAGCCAGCCATCACTGCGCTCGACTATATTTTAGGGAACCCAATGACAAGGATAGTTTTATTAATTATATAATAACTAAAAGATATACATATAATCTAAATATATATAACTCAAAGGTGACTGACATAGTGATCTATCAACACACAGTCCAAACCACTGGACGGATCAGGCTGAATTTTGGCAGGTAGATGTTATGACGTAGGCATCCGCTAAGGAATTCTACCCCCAAAGGAATAAAATAGGGGATGAAAGTTTGTATGAAACTTTGACAATTTTAAACCGATCGGGCTGCGACATAACATGCATAACGCTACTATGATGTAGGCATCCCCTAAGAAAGGATTTTGATAAATTCCACCCCTAAGGGGATAAATAAACGCGAGCGAAGCAGCGGGCAAAAGCTAGTATAATATAACTGTATATTATATATGGCAAACAAGCTATTGGCTCTCTTAATGCCAAGTGATAAACTGAAAGTAATCCGTATTACAAAGCAATTAGTATCAAAATTAAAAGTTATCACCAAAAGTTGCATGCTGCTGAATTACGTTCTTCTTGTTAGCAACATGCAGATTCTGCTTGAACGTGGCAAGTCTCATTGCCTTCTCTGTATCATCTGCGTACTGCTTGTCATGTGTCTGTATGAATTGCTCGAATAATATTTCTGCTTGGTCTATATCGTAGAATACTTTTCTTGGCAACTTGGCCACTACTAGCGCACTTCCATATAAGAACAGTACAGTTACTAGTAACATATTACTTGGTGTCTATAATTCTATTGTGATAAATTCATATACAACTGCGTTTATATATATACATTTTTAAAGTTACATCGTTGTTATCGATTTTTGAAATATTTCTAAAGTCATAACGATGGAATTGTGTTAACATGCATAGTTTACATTTTATGGTAAATACACTTAAGATATATTTTATACTAGACGTTTCAGTCATTCAAATAAATAAATTTTCTAAAAATATCAAAGTATTAGACTACTTTTATATTTTTACTACTGTTACTATTTTTAATATTAAGTAGCCAGTGAAGTCTCGTCTATATCGGATCAGCCGTTTCAGAGATTAGGAAGAATAGACAAAGAGACACTTTTTAAAATAAATTTATTGATTTAAGTGATTGACCTTGAAATTACAAAGACACTTCAAGACGCTGAAAGTGTTAATTATGCTAATGTTATAAATAAGAAAGATTTGATTGTTTGTTTGTTTGCATTGAAACTACTGGACGGATTTGGAAAATTCTTTGCGATCAGAATCCTACGTTATCACGGATGAACATAGACTTTCTTTTATCAGTAAAATCCTATATTACCTATCCCTGATAGCATAGATAATAGAATATTTTCATAAACTTTAGGGATCCATATAAAAACTTAAGTAATGTAACTTTTGAAAAAAAAAATCACTTTACCATATATCACGTACCTATGTAATAGAAATCTTTGATAGAGATAGAGCAAAGTGATGTACTATACAATACGTATACATACTATACGTACGTTACTATACTATACAGTACGTTTAATTCAGGACATCAATATCATAGGAAGGAAATTTTTATAGTGGGTACGACCACTACTTTAAACATATATCGGTTAGTATTTATGTGTGTCGTTAATAGTAGCTATACATATAACCGTAACATATTTCAGATTATTTAATTATTTAATCTATACATATAAATAAAATTTGAGTATTTGTAATATTGAAATAACAGTTTTTTTTACATATGAATATAAATACTGCACATACAGCAAAATATCGTTTTTTTACAATTTTTGTCTGTCTATTTGTTCCGGCTAATCTCTGAAATGGCTGGACCGATTTTGATGGGACTGTTTTTGGCAGGTACCTGATGTAATAAGGACTAAATTAGGCCACTGTTATTTTAGAAAAAAACTTTTATCTTAGAAAAATAAAGTTACATTTTACGCGGATGAAGTCGCGGGTCAGCTAGTGGTCAATCATCATTTATATCAAAATTATGCAGTTGTGAAAATGCTGTTTATTAAACATATGCGAGTGTTATCGTACCTACTTTTGAAAAACAGTTGTTTACACTGTATATATTATAAGTACCTATATGAAAATAATATTTACCTTTTGGGTGAAATATATTCTCGTAAGAAAAATATCATAAATTTAGTTAAGTATTATCTCACAAACTCTGTTTAACTTGGGACTAGATGGCACTATGTGAATAGTCCTAGTTTATTAATATTTTGTATTATGTGTTTGTCAAAAAGTTGTTATTTATATCAAAATTAATGTCACTCTATTAATTTTATATACTTTATATCGAATCGGATGCTCTCGAGCTATAACCGAGCTCTATTCATTGCCTGATGATGCCTCGTTCACAGGCGAAACACGTGACGCAAAATGGGTTGTAGATCCAATAACGGTCGGAATTTAATCAGCAATAGAGGAGGCTAACGTAACGCAACGCTTCCAGTAGCGGTGGTCAAATTTCCGCACTCAATATTTGTGATCTCACACATGTTAATGTTAGCAGAATTAATAATAATAAACATAAGATTATAAATCAATTAGTTTTGTTTATATTTAATAATGAAACAAATTTACAAGTCGGATCAAAATGAACATGAGTTTTTTTCGTATAATCATTACATGTTACAAAAAAGAGCACGTAAGGTGTACGGGCATTGTCATCAATAAGCATTTTGTATCATCCACCCACTGAACACCGGATGTATCATAAATGTATGGTAATTTGATAGGGGAGCGTAACCTAGCAGTGTATATTATATGCAACTATTGTATACTCACTTAATAACTTTAAAAAACATTCGTTAACATTTGTAGTCGGTATAATCCATTTAGAGCTTAACTTACTATAACAGAATATATGTTATTGTTGTTCTATCAGATACTCACAATTAGCTGAAATATTTGCTATATTAAATATTTTCTCAAACGTAATTCATTATATGTATCTCTTTATTTGATTTACAGACATTTTTATAATCTTAAAACTTTTGAAGATATAACACAAATATCGTCTTCATTATAAATTAAAAAATCACATCAATTGGTGTTTCATTATTGGTGCTTTGTATATATATTATGTATGTATTTACAAAACATGTATTGAAAGTATTACTTGTTAACTTATATCAGTTGTCTAGTACCCATAACCCAGCTCTGCTTGCCTTCAGATTTGAGTTATTATTATTACGATCTACACGCTATATTCAGAACCATTACGCTACAAAATCTTTATTATAAAGTCATCAACTTTAATTATACAATATCATTGAGGCAAGCATTGAAGTTGACAAGTAAAAGCAATTTAAGAATCAAGACGCTCTTTAAACTTGAATCCCTTCAAAATACTAACAATAACATTGTATGCGACATCATAAATGACGAATATCCACACATTCTACAACGAAATGCATACTAAACTATGAATGGACCCCATCCACGGCCATTAATAACTGACCAAATAAGGACACGCCAGACTCTTCGGAACCGAGTCTTCGAGCTAACAAATGTTATAAAAAAACCGGCCATTATTTATCTATCCCGATTTTGTCGTGTGTTCGGCACGATATTAAAATACAAACACGAACAATAGCACATCATTGTTGCAAGAAGAAAAAGATATAAGAAAATTTATATCGGCCGCCTCCGTCACAATGAGTCTCTGGGCGGAGCGTGGATTCCATAGAAAAAAGCATCAATGAATATGAACGACAATTATATTCTGGGAAAGATTTTGGACCAGGAGACTTAGGAATCGTAAGCTAGCGTGAAATTTGCGCTTTCTCCGCACTAAGTCTTATTACGAACGGTTGTTTCCATATATAGAGGTGCGGTAGACAGCCACTGAGAATCTATTGTGGCGTCCGCCATTGTGTTTCGAGATGAGTTTGAAAATTGAAATTTAATGGAAATATCAAATGAAACTCAACAGAGAGTTCTTTGGACGATGCTCATTGCCGATAATGGCGTTTGTGACTTGAAACGGAATGAGGCGTTTTGTAACCATTGATGCTCGCTCCGTGATGTTAAATTAAACTTTGTGATTACAATGCCGAATGACATTCTCGATATTATGATGTTGTGAAGTATCTATTCAGGTAGCTGTAGATAAATATTTATTAATATACATACCATTAAGAACGTCAAATATTTCAATATTAAGATTTGTTAACATCCGTAGATTCATAGCATCAATGTTCTGAGTTATATTAAATTTAAGTTTTAATTTAATTTAATTTAATAATGATAAAGCTAAAATAACTACTACGGTATTTATGAATGAACTAACAAATGTCGTGGACAATGCAAGGATTATGGGAACACCAAAAACAGCTTACGGACCGCTAGACAAACATGAATGAAACTTCATAAAAGTAACAGCAATAGAGCGGTGTTCTTTCAAAGTCAGGAACAGTAGCCAAATCCGCATTTCTATATATTTGTCAATGAAGCTACTTTAAGAGATTCCTGAAATGTATTTACAAATAAACACAAAGGATCTCCTCTTCAATGGCGCATTGTAATCAAGCTAGGTTTTACTCTGAATATCATATTGGTTGTTGGTCCTGATAATAATGCCATAGAGCAAATATTGTTCTTAATCTTACCAAGTGTTCGTTTTATTTCGTGAGAATGTTTTAAACCGTCCACTGGTTTTCTATATTATTTTACTAACTATTGTTATCCTATTAAATAATAAGAAACAATGTTATTCTAAGGGTAATCTATCATATTTATCACTGTCTGACCACCCTCTTTTAGTTAGGCGTCGAACCGTGTCGGATCCTAAGCAAACGCCTCGAGGCTAAGATTATGAAACAAGTTTAGTATACCCTAAGTATATGGCTTTAAAACAGCCCAACATATACTGTCCTTCTCTAAAACATGGACAATGAAAAAGACGACGTCATTTTATGTCCCAGGGTTAGAACTGGTTCGGAAAAATTTCATTGTTACTCGTTCGACAGGTTAGAACACGGTACCTACGTGGGTGCTATTGTATTTTTAGTGCCCGATTGTTACATGTTATTGCTGAACTGACCAAGCTAACGTTGGACTGACAAATTTTAAAGGAGACCATGTGTTAAAGAAAATAAATTCATATTCAAACAATCATATCTAAAATTATTTATCAAGAATAAGAAAGTAAACTCTTATTGAAGGAATTAAGAGGAAGAATTATCAAGAGTATTACATACTGGACAACCAATAATTACTTTATCATCAGAATGATAAACTAAACATATCAACTTAGAGATTGCTTCCTTAATGTAACGCATAAAAAGTTAGTAACTAATCTATGGTTACTTGTTTCTTCGTAATTTAATTAACTTTTTAAGTAAGCTTTGTGTCTTAGAAGTCTATTGACTTAGCTTAAAAATTTCATTTAAAAGTACACTAAATAATTCAAATATTATATTTAACTTATCTTTTTAAATTCTTTTTAGTTTATATATAATATAGAGTGGTAGAATAAAAAAATATGGCTACTCAAAGTGCTTAGTTTATTGGAATAAAGATTATTTCTACTCTATTCTATTACTTTAAATTTATGATAGACCCTTAAAATAACATTTATTATAACCCACATAAAGCAGACCTTTGATACCCTATACGCCGTAATATAACTGGACACCAAAGTTGTCCGCCACACCGGAAAATGATTTCAAGAGTCCTCCACTAGCATTCTCGTAAAGGGAGCCAGTTTGTTCCTAAAATACTTCACATT